TTTTCATGAAACTCATTGCAGTTCTCTCTGGAAAAAAGTAGCTATCTTTTAAAATTGGTTCTAAATTAGAAACAGAACTCAAGCAATATTAATACTTGGTCATGATCCCTGCAGGAGATTCCTAAAAATTTACATAATGAGTCTAGAACCTGTGGTCCTCCAGTTATTGCTAATCTACAGTTCCTATCAGCCTTAGCCATCTTGGCACATGGTGATAAGGGCTGAGAGTTATAATCCAGTAATATTTTGAGGACTACAGGTTTAAATAATTTAAAACATGTTTAGTAGCAATTACATGTGCCTTTTCTCCAAGAGAGGTGTGAACAGAGGCTTTTGTAAAGCAGGTCAAAGAGGCCAAATGCCAAAAGCAATGTTATGCTAACATCATGCAAATTCCATCCCTTCTGTATATGTGTCTTGATGTTGCATGCATGGTTAAAGAGAAAGCATAACTGTTTTCATCATTTTTGTATAAAAGTAGTGGACCGCATGGATGCCTCTGCTATGTGTCTTGTATGTTTGTGTATGTGTAGTAGAAGTGCATTCATCAGAAGACGTATAGTTGGGATTAGAAAGAAACTACTACTTTATTTTGTATTCAGAATATAAATTGCATTCATATTACACTAATCCTCTCTCTTTTATGGTGGCTTCTTATAAAACACTTCAATCCTGGAACTTTAGCACCTGATGGAACAATTTTTCTCATATGTTCTTACTTATACTTTAATATAATTCATAGTCACTCTTCATGAAATGGTCCTCTTTCTCTTCATATGTCAAGCATATGTGTGTGTGTATGTATGCATGTATGTGTGTGTGTGCATATGTGTATATATGTGTACACACACACACACAGACAATATTGAAGTAGTGGATAGGTTCTGCCTGTTAAGATCAACCACCATTCTCTTCATATGTCAAGCATATGTGTGTGTGTATGTATGCATGTATGTGTGTGTGTGCATATGTGTATATATGTGTACACACACACACACAGACAATATTGAAGTAGTGGATAGGTTCTGCCTGTTAAGATCAACCACCAACAGTAAAGGAACAAGCAGTCAAGAAATCCTCTTTCTCTTCATATGTCAAGCATATGTGTGTGTGTATGTATGCATGTATGTGTGTGTGTGCATATGTGTATATATGTGTACACACACACACACAGACAATATTGAAGTAGTGGATAGGTTCTGCCTGTTAAGATCAACCACCAACAGTAAAGGAACAAGCAGTCAAGAAATACACCACAGACTAGTACTTGGTAGAGCAATCATGAAGGCCTTGGAAAAGATATTCAGATGCCATGATATGTCTATACCTACAAAGTTCAGAATTGTGTAAGCCATGGTATTCCCTGTGACACTCTTTGGAAATGGAAGTTGGACTTTGAAGAAGCAAGATAAGAATATTGATGCTTTTGAACTTTGGTGTTGGAGAAGACTCCTGAGAATACTGTGGGCAGCCAAGTAAACAAACCAATGGATCTTCAAAGAAAACACTTAAGGCACAAATGTCAAGGCTCAAATTATCTTACTTTGGACACATTATGCTGAGTCCTAGCTCTCTGGAAGAGGCTCTAATGCTGGGAAAGGTGGAAGGAAAGAGAGGGGATGACCAGCAGCAAGGTGGATAGACTCAGTTATAGTGGCAATGAGTGCACCATTGGAAGACCTGAAGGACCAGGTTAGGGACAGATCATCATGGAGAAAACCTATCTGTGTGGTTGCTAAGAGTCAACAACAGCTTGATGGCACCTAATCAATTCATCATTAATTCTAAAGATGACACAAACATCCTTCATATGGAAGAAGTCTTAATTAAAATTCAGTTTTAAATACCATATTGTAAACTAATTGAATTATTAAATTAACACTTTAAAGCCTTGGAGAAATCCAGAAAAGTATTCTCCAAAAGTGCATTTTTTAGAATTTTCAAGGAAAAGCAGTAAAATACTGCAGGGCACACTTTAAAAATGGATAACTTTCTCTCATTCTTTGCCACATGCATTTTATATTAAAAATTCAATATTTAAAAAGTCACTGCTATGTTTTGAATACTCTCCTTTATATGTTTACATCTATAAGTTGTGCTTTCTGTTTAGCATTCAAAATACTTAAACTTGTGGTTTTGTTTTATTCAGGACCCCTTAGCTGAAGAATAAAGGAATGCTTCATTTCTTCTTCCTTCCCTCCATATGCCATGGCACCAGATATGATAATAGCATCACAGAATGATCACACAGATGGTCTCACACATACTAGGGTTAAACATGTCACCTAAGCTATAAATGTGTTGCATGTACAGAGAACAGTTCTGGGGCTGGCATTAGACAAAAGAGGATGATTAGCATGGTGAGCATATGATCATAATAGCATGATTTATGATCATGAGCACCCCAGTGATTAATTAAAAGCGTTTATCTATTGAATGCTATGCATTATTTACACGGTCATTTCTATTCTCTTGAGATCTAAAGCCCTTAGCTACTTTTTGGCATACAGGTTAAACACCAGCTGCCTAAATGCAAAGGGGAAAAATTACAATATTGGTTAATTATTTAATTTTACTTTGGATCTAGTATTGTCTCATTTTATTTTGTAATTCTTTCTTATGATTCCTCTTTTTCTATGGCTCTTTCATGAACCTTCATAACTTTCTCCAGTAAACAACCTGTCTTGAGTAAATGAACTCCTTCCCTTCCCCCTCAACCCCCCATTAGAAGTTCATGATTTCTATGTACCTTACCTGTACTGAGTAATAGGACACAGATATGTTTTTACTATTGGATGGAATATCAAGTCATTAATCTGGGAAAGGGGAGGTTGTTACATGTGTTCTTGGGATTTGTGGCTTTAATGGATGTGTATTGGTATACTGCTGCAAGCAGGACTAAGTTAGATTGCTGTCCATACCATAGCCTTACTCAGCCTAGTGCTATCCAGGTGAATAGGCCTTCAACTCGTAGAATTCCCTTTCCTGAATAATACTAACTTGAGAGACAGCTTCATTGAAATCAGTGCTGAATTTCTGAGCAAATATTTACAAGATAACTCTGTCATGGTCGATTCCTGTGTAATAGCTTTGCCAGATTACCCTATAATCTGCAGATTAAAAGTGAAGAGGTTCCAAAGTTCAGCAGCAACTTCATGTCGTCACTCCCTAGCTCCAATAGAGGTGGACCTGGATTTATTCTGGAGCTTCTTGGCTACCTTGAGGCAGGATATTGGGGTGGGGAGGGAAGACATCAAGCATGGGGATGGCTAGCCCCTTAGAGGCCTGTCATCTGCAGCCCTGGAAACCATCAGCCTCTTGGATTTTTTTTTCTTTTCTTTTAGTAACGTTTTGCACAGTTTTTATGTTTCATGTGATTGTATATACTGTATATTTATTGTTTTAATGGGCTATGTGAGCCGCCCAGAGTCCTCCATCGGGGAGATGGGCGGAGATAATTTAATAATAAATAAATAAATAAAATATTGAAAGGATGGTATATAAAGCCATATGTAGAATGGACTTGGCAGGAGTTATTGAGAAAATTCTTGAGATGTGTTTACTTGTGGGTGTTGTAGAATGTGTCATAATTAGCATAAGGGTGGGAGAGAAGCAAATTTGGGTGTAGAATTTTAATAAAAGTAAATTTCCTTCAGTTGTTAACTACACAAATTCCCCTTTCACATTCATCTTCTCCCACCTACAAACCATTTCAATTTCATTTTATATTTTGAATGAAAATGAATGACAGCTAAGGGAGGGGCTGGCTGTTTCACAAAAAGCCTTGTGAAGTTACAAGCCACCTCTAGGCTACAGATTGGACACCCATGCTGTAAGAAGATAATACCATTAGCTGCTTCACTTTGCAGTCCCTTGAGCAAAGTGGCCCTTTGAAACAAAATGGTCCCTTCCTTCTAAATTAGTGTTTCTCAACCTTGGCAACTTTAAGATATGAGGACTTCAACTCCCAGAGTTCCTCAATCAGCATGCTTGATTAAAGTTAACTCCTGACTTGATCGGATGTGCTTAAATCTGTATCCACTAGCATTCTTATAGGGTGCATCTGCTAGGGCAGATTCATTAACCATAGAGCCAGTTTGGGCTTATTCTTTGATCTGTGATAAAATACATGCACCTTTTTTTCCCAGCTGTGATTTAAAATTCTGCTCTGTTTCTTTCCAGGCTGGCAGCCTCGGTGGTTTCTTCTTGCAGGAGGTGTGTTATCCTATTACGACTCACGGGAAGATGCTTGGAAAGGCTGTAAGGGGAGCATCCAGATGGCAGTTTGTGAAATTCAAGGTAGAGAGATAAGAACCCACAAAGTATTTCTTCTTGCTTATTAGATACAATGGCTCTGTTTAGATGCTCATATGCAACTTCACAAGCCATGTTTAGGAACCTGTGAATAAGTGCCATAGACCTATACTTTTCCACCTTCCTGTCCTTTTTCTCCTCTGCTTTGGCATGAAAATCATCCTAGCTTGCTTTATTCCCTGTTAGACCTGAAAAAGAAGAACTCTAGATTAATATCAGTTAACAAACAGGGACAATAATTTATTAGCCCAATTTTTAAACTGACATGAAACCCAGAATTAACTGATTTGCATATTAGGAGGACTGTAGCATCAGATAAACTAGAATCTTTGTGGCAAGGGAGAGGAAAACAAATCATTAATATGGTTTATATCCACATTTTGATTTATTAAGCCAAACTATGATATGCAGGTCTTAAGATGGTGGGCAACACCTCCTCACTTATTCCTTACTGGTACACTATGATTCTGGCTGTATAACTATGATCCTGATTTTGTTCTGTTTGTCATATCCATACTTTCCAAATTTGGCTGTAACAAGAAACTATGATTAGTAATTGTAGGAGTCTTCATTATATACTGCCCTTGTCTTCCAGGAGAGGAAGAAAAGGGCAGTATATAATCAAAGACAAATTGTGAATCAAGTTAGTCAATGTTTATGTGACTCTAGAAAATGTTGATTGTCTCATGTCCCACCTAACTCTGTTGATATTAGTTCATTCTACAGATAATACACGCATGGATTTGATGATTCCTGGAGAACAGTGTTTTTATCTGAAAGCTAAAGATACAGCTGAAAGACAAAAATGGTTGATTGCCCTGGGAACTGCCAAGGCTTGTTTGACAGATATTCGGACATTGAAAGAAAAAGGCAAGCAATTTTCATATGGGGACTAACTTGGTGAAGTATTTTTCAGCTTCCCCCAAAGTATCATTTTCTGTTTATGTGCATTTCCAATCTTTGTATTACTTGTTGTTGCATGAAAGCTTTGTTGAACATCTGGCTTTGTTTTTAGTGCAAAAAGTTTTTAGTTACTAAGTGTT